TGTCAATTAGCTTATACTAACCTGGCTAATACAAGAATGGCATTCTCTGCACATCAACTACAGTCACTGAGTGAGGCATTTAAGGAAGACTATCTTGGATTGATGACAACATTCACAGAATATGATGAAAAGAAGTATCAGTTCCTTCACTTGAGTATACAGGAATTTCTAGCTGCATGGTGGATAGCTAAGCATGAGAAGAAGACAGAGGAAGTGTTTAAGTATCACTTTGATGATGATCACTTTCGAATGTGTCTGAGGTTTGTGGCAGGTCTAACTCACCTTAAGCATGAGAGCTATCAACAGTATTTCAATAAACACCAACTTGACTTACAGTGTAAGAGGAAACCATTGTTTGGATTCAAATTTTGTCAACTCTCCTGCTTTTATCAGAATCCTGACATTATTCAACCTCATCTTGCAACCATTACTTTTAATAGAATATCTCATGATTTTGACAAGATTCCTATTCTTCTTCTTCAACTCATGTATGAATCACAGAACACAAAATTATGTCAAGTATTTGCACAATCCATCAACAACTGCTCACTGTGCTTGCAAATGGTATCATTATCATTGTTTGACTGGTTGTGTCTCAGTTATTGTGTAAACAATTCTAACATGACATGGAATCACTTGGACCTGTGCTTTGTATCTCAAACATTCACTGTTGGACTAACCAACAACTCACTACTACATACCCAGTGTCACAGACTGGAAGTATTGCAAAACCTCAATCGACCTAATTATAAATCAATACACAGAATATTCCAATCATCACTTCTGTACAATATTCAGGAATGCTACTATGTGCTACATTTAGGTTGTTACGTTCCCTGTCTTGTATTGTTACAGTTCTTGAATCTTCCTCAACTGAAGATACTGCACCTAAAAATGAGTACCCTTACTATACAATTAATTGACAATACATACTATGCAGACAAGTGCACTGAACTTGAGAAATGTATAGAAACGAACTTAACACTGCAAGAATTGAAGATTGAGTATACAGCAAGAATTAAAATAAAAAGTACCATTAGCAGTGTTATTAGGGGAGTAACAAGAAATAAAACAATAACATCATTTTCACTAGATGTACCTCTACCTGATGGAGTAATAGAGCAGTTACTAAAGGAAAACAACTTAATACAAGCACTTTCACTGGTCACATCACCAAATTCATTAAATATAGTAGAGGTGAACACACCACTGACTGCTCTAGAGATAGGAGGATGGAGTACTAGTAAGCTAATGACATCATCACTCCTACAACACATCAAAGGATTACACTGTCTGATACTACATGAACCATACCTACCACATCTTCTATTTTTCCCTCATCCCAGTCTACATACACTTACTTTACCACTAGACACAGCTGAGAGTGCTATTGAACTATTTACTATTCTACAAACCAATACTACACTTAATGCTCTGAGTGTTGAGATAAAGGAGGAGAAAGTATATACTAGCAGTATGGGTATTAGTCTACAAGACATGCTAACGCAAAACCAAACATTGAAATACTTTAAAATTAATGACAAAATTCCCAGTTCATTCCTGTCCTTCCTAATAACTGGTCTCAGACACAACACCAGTCTACAGCAGTTGAGTATATCATCCATTCCACTGAATGAAGAGATCATAAAGACAAAAACTTTTATTAATGTCATCTCTCAAAAGAACAATCTCACAGAACTTAGTGTATACTTCAGATTACATGCAGATCAGTCATATAATAACCATAGTTGGGAGGAGAATGCACAAATAATGACACCATTGTTTTATGAGCAGGTGCTACCTGCTGTTACTAGCATGTTACAGTCACATACAACCATCAGACTACTGAAAATAGAGTGTACATATATTGATTATAAGTCATATCAACCTAACTGGAAGGAACTAGTACAAAATTTATACGACACTATATTCATTCATCCATCACTTGAATATATTGGAGTGTGTGCTGGACATGCTCCTCATCTCCTGGTCAATACTCTTAAAGATAAAAAGAAGACATTGATTGACAGACACAGAAAAGAAAAACCACACAAACCACTACCAATAGTGGAGATTATCTAATGAGTACTGAATTTTAAATTATGTACATCAATTTGTTATCACATTAATTAGATAATGACTTTACCTGCATGCATGATGTGAATGAAACAATATAGCCATTCAAATGTACTGATTTTGTTAAACACTTAATAGTATGGCACGCATAGCATGATGGGGGCAATGATAATATTTTTAGTGTTGGTTTTGTATCTATCTGGCTGCATTCATTAGCCCTTGAATTGCAATCTGTACTATTACATATCTTTCCTGCTTAAAGGTTGATCTAACATGCTGAGGGCGCGAAGCGCGCCGTGATTTTGGCCACACCCACTTTTACAGCGGTACGTATCTATGGTACTGTATCTATGGTAAAACAGCCTTTTCCTGCATTTTCGTCAATTACGGGTGGGGCCAAGATTATTTCAAGCATACTGCTATGTTACTGGTACTTCTGATCAGTGGCGGACCCCAATGACTGTAGGCTGGGGAATGGTCTGGCTAGCGAGACTAGGCGGATCTGGGCCCGGGCCTAGACGGGCCATGGCCCGGGCATCAGAAGTCAGTAATGAGATTCATTAGATGCAATGTAAGCAATTCCCTGCCTCAAGTTTTGATAAAGCCAACCACAAGCCACACCAGAGTACCTACAAGTGCTTGAAGAGCATTCTGGCACTGCATAGATGAGGAAATTGTTGAAACCCATCATAAAAATGGCCAAAAGATGCATAACCATAAAATAACTGGTTGAAAAGTGGACACACCCACTTCCTGGCCCTACCATTAACTTGCACCCAGATCCGCCACTGCTTCTGATTGCTCCTTAAAGCACTGGAAACTGCTGAAATCATGATCAGGGGGCTAGATAACTTTGTTAAGAGGCTTGGTAGTGATGCAAGAGTCCAGGACTTCAGTAATTTTTTCTGAGCCCAGCCCTGAGGGGGGTGCTCAAGCCCCCTCAGCCCCCCCTAAATACGCCTCTGGGTACCTAATGAGAAATCTTGTGTTAGTGCACTTGCGTTTTGTACATAACGATCCACAAACTATACAATCCTGAGCTTTAATATTGTATCAAATTCACATGCAGAAGTCCATGAAGGATTTGATCATTCTCCTCTACATATGAACTACCAGTAATCAATAATCCATATAAACATATTTCAATAAAAATTGTATGCAAGTGTAGCTCTTAGACAAATAAGCTACATGCAAATATGTGCTGATTGCCATCATCAGCCTTAGTGACACCAAGTGTGCACTATTTACTTTATACATAAATGTACATGCATTAGAGCCCTATTAATGACATTGTTTATAATAAATATATAATTTTAATATGATAGATAAATAATTTTAAAAGCCAAAATAGCTGACAAAATAGCTACAGTACAAAAAAGAAAATAAAATGTTCATTTACTTATAAAAAAAAACAGCATAACCAATAAGAAAGGAGCCTATAAAATGCTGATACAAAATTGAATGTCAAGCTCCCATTTTTATATAGACCCCTTTAGGCGAGAATTAGTTTGTGATACCGTATATACAAAGAAATAATATTGAACGGATTTTTGTCCGCCATGTTTTACGTCAAAGTTATGCAGAGTTCCAATGGCTGATGTGCAAAGTAGAGCTGTTTTGCAAATAAAACTTTTGTTGTGCTGAACTCAAGACTATGAGAGGCTTCATATCAACTGTTCTTTACTATAGCAAGATATTTTGAAGACTTAAGAAGTCTGGGAGAGCCAGAACGATCAGTTCTTGACTCTCTGTCACAGCCCAAAGAGGAAAGCAGGCTCATACAACAAAAGTATTACACTATACTTCCTAGGTTGGCTCTCTTGGCATCTTTCTTGACTCTAGAATAGTTTTTAGCTTCAAAATGTAGTGACCAAGATCTCCAGGACACAAAAAGCACTTGCTGCTTGACGTAAAACATGGCGGCCAATTATTGTATGTGGGCGTATACCGTAACTGAGATATAATGATATTCATTGCAAAATTAATGATATTCACAAGCTGCTACTTCTCGCCTAAAGGGGTCTATAAAGAGGAGCAATAAGATCAAAGAAAAACCATTGTAAGTGCTATTGAGTTGAGAATGCTGGTACCCAATGAGAAATTGTGTTAATTAGTACATTTGGGTTTTGTACACAACGACCCATGAACTCACATACAGGAGTTCATGTAGGATACACTCTCCTCCACATTATGGACTACAAGTAGCCTTCAAAGGTAAATGCATGCTAAGCAACATTTGTGGTTAGTTTGATCTTGTAAGCATCATGTTGCCAGAAATAGAAGGATGCTCTATTTCTGGCAACATGATGCTTACAAGATCAAAGTAAAGAGCAGCATGTAACCTAGCTGCATGCATGCCAATATGCACTGATTAACATCATCAGCCTTAGTGGCACCAAGAGTGCATATTTGCTTTATGCATAAATGTAAATGCATTAAAACTTAACATTAGATTTGACTCTAATTCACTAACATACACAAGAGCAGTAGCTGCAGTATTAATTAAACCACATATACAATCCTACGTACCAAGCACCACCGCCTGGTTCCAAAGCCTAGTTAATTAAGGCTGATTCACACTTGCAACTTAACTTGAGGTAAGGCCTTAAGCTAAGACAGGAATTAGACTTGTGGGGCTAGACTTAAGTTTTAAAATAGATTCTCTTGATATCAACTTGCAATGTTTTGATTTGCATGGGCAAAGAATTGTATCAAATTTACACATACACAAGTCTAGGAAATAATTAGACTCATTCTCTTCCACATTATGGACTACAAGTAATGAATGATCTATGAAAACATAATTCAAAAGAAATTAATTAGCTGCATGCCAATATGTGCTGATTGACATCATCAGCCTTAGTGGCACCAAGAGTAGTCTACATATTTACTTTATACAAAAATGTACATGTATTAGAGATTAATTAAATGACAATGTATTATGGTAATAAACAATTCTCTTTCTCCTCATTTTCTCTACAATAAAACTCTAAAACAAAACTAGACAAAAATTAACTACTTAACTATTTAACTACCACAATAAAAAAGACCAAAAATAAAATTAAATCAGTTACGGCATGGAGCTGGCACATGTTCACCATTCATCCTCAGAACCTCACATGACATTGCAAGAAGTTTGAGTTTACATATGCCAGAGCAATCTATAAAAGATATGCAAGTTACATAAAACAGATTATTGAACATTATAATTAAAGCACATCATGTTACTCCATTCTCAAAACACCTGGTAAAATATACAGTACATAATATTATCAACAGGCTACAATTTTATTCATTCTCAAACACCTGGTGTAAAAAATATTCAAAGCATGGGAGTTGTGGTAACAATTAACAAAAATGGCTTAAAAACTATAGCTAGTTGTGGAAGCCAAAAAACAATAATGATACTAAGCAGTAGAACTGCCTATAAAAATACCTAAAGTCATCACAATACAGGTTATGAAACAGAGCAAAGCAATCATTTTTCCTAAATTTGATATCAGTTACTCTTACCAGGTCTTGGTGAAGTAGTATCACCAAAAGTAGTATTTAATGCAAATGAATTGATATCATTCAATCCAGCAACAGACAAGTACACATTAGGCATTGATGTCTGCCTCTTTCTACGACTTCCATCATCATCATCATCAGTAGTTGACTGTACATATAATTCTGGACTAAT